ATCCATCCTGTTTTTCCAGACTCCTGGTGATTATAATCAGTGCCACACAGATTATTACTTAATGGTTCCATGTGGGTGTTAATTTTATCTACTAATTTTGAATACTGTGTAAACATTAAATAGTACTTTTTCATATGATATATCTTGCCTATTCTAACACCATGTAAGGTAACTTGCTTAGTAAATGCTCTTTTAATGATTAGCTAATAAAAGTTATAGTAGATAATATTTAATGAGAATTTATCATTTGACAAGCACAGTACTAACAGCTTTATGTGCATTATCGCATTTAATTCTCACGAAATCCTTTAATGAGTTCTGTTATCCTCCTTTTTTTTTCTTTAACACCGCGATCAAGTAGGTTTCAGACACACCTTTTATAAATGAAAAAAATAGGCTGGGCTCGGTGACTCAGCCTGTAATCCCAGCACTCTGGGAGGCCGAGGTAAGTGGATTGCCTGAGCCCGAGGGTTCGAGACCAACCCTGGCAACTTGGAGAGACCTCATCTCTACAATAAATTTTTAAAAATTAGCTGGACATGGTAGTGCATGCCTGTAGTTCCAGCTACTTGGAAGGCCGAGGTAGACAGACCGCTGGAGTCCAGCAGGTCAATGCTGGGGTGGCTGTCAGCATGCCACTGCACTCCAGCCTGGGCAATGAAGTGAGGCTCCAACTCAAAAAAAAAAAAAAGAAAGAAAAGAAAAATAGATCATTAGAGAAACTATATAATTTAACCAAGGTTATGCATTTTCATAATTCTTGGTAGACTAGGGATTTGAATTGAAGCCTATCTGACTCTGAAGCCCATGTTTGCTTGTCTTCTCTTTATTTCAGTAGCTTTAGGGTGTGCAGATAGTGTTTGGTTGTCACGGATGCATTGTGAAGAAGTCTGGGCTTTAAGTGTACCCACCACGCCCACCAGTGTACACTCTACTCGATAAGTGACTTTTTTGGTCCCTCTACTTCTTCTCCCTCCTCCTTCAGAGTCTCTAGTGTCTATTATACCATCTCTGTGCCTTTGCAGATTCCATTTATACATGTGACCATGTGGTTATTGGTTTTCTGTTCCTGTATTCGTTCATTTAGGATGATGTTCTTCAATTCCATCGGTGTTACTGCAAAAACATTTCATTATTTTTTATGGCTGAATAGTATTCCATAATATGTAGGTACATGCCACGTTTTCATTATCCACTGATCAGCTGATGGGCATTTAAGTTGATTCCACATCTTTGCAATTGTGCACCATGCTGCAATAAACATACCAGTGCAGGTCTCTTTTTGTATAACAACCTCTGTTTCTTTGTGTAGATGCCTAGTAGTGTATTGGGGTAGATAACTAGATCTATATGCTGGATCAAATGGTAGATCTACTTGTAGTTCTTTAAGAAATTGCCATAATGATTTCCATACAGGTTGTGCTAATTTGCCCTCCCACTAATAATGTATAAGCATTTCCTTTTCACAGCATCCGCACCAGCATTTATAGTTTTTTCATTTTTTTAAATAATGGCCCTTCTGACTGGTGTAATTTGTGGTTTTAATCTGCATTTCCTTGATGATGAGTGATGCTGAGCATATTTTAATATGTTTGTTGGCCATTTGTTTATCTTTTTTTGAGAGACGTCTGTTCATGTCATTTGCTCATGTTTTAATGGGGTCATTTGTTCTCTTCTTGCTGATTTATTCTGAGTTCTTTGTAGATTCTGAATATTAGTTCCTTGTCAGATGTACAGTTTGTGAATATCTTCTCCCATTCTGTAAGTTATGGGTCCCCAGTCTCTGGGTCGCAGACCAGTACTGGTCCATGGCCTATCAGGAACTGAACCACACAGCAGGAGGTGAATGGCAGGCTAGCAAGCGAAGCTTCATCTATAGTTGCAGCCACTCCCCATCGCTTGCGTTACCATCTGAGCTTTCCCTCCCGTCAGATCAGCAGTGGCATTAGATTCTCATAGGAGTGTGAACCTTATCGTGAACTATACATGCAGGGGATTTAGGTTGTACGACCCTTGTGAGAATCTAATGCCTGATAATCTGAGGTGGAGCTGAGGCAGTGATGCTAGTCCTAGGGAGTGGCTGCAAATACAGATTAACGTTAGCAGTGAAGTTTGACTGCACCAAGACCATAATAAATCAAGTGCTTACAGACTCACATCAAAACCCTATCAGTGAGTGGCAAGTGAGTAGATGTACTTCAATTACACGTTGCATCTGGTGGTAGAATTTAAGTCAGAATCCGACACTTATTTTAGTCCATGTGTGGCTCATCCATTATTTAGTCACAGTTTTGCTAAGCCCACAAGCTAACCCTAGTCAAAATGATTTTTTTTTTTTAAAGTCACTGGTGTCGGGCTTGGTGGCTCAGCCTGTAATCCCGCACCTTTGGGAGGCTGAGGTGAGTGGATCGCCTGAGCCCGTGGGTTCAAGACCTGCCTGGGCAGTGAGACCTCATCTCTACAATAAATAAAAAAATCTGCCGGGTATGGTAGCGCATGCCTGTAATTCCGGCTACTTGGAAGGCTGAGGCGGAAGGAT